AAGTCCCCTGGGCCTCCAAGTATATTTAGTATATTTAGGCCCAAGTTTCACAGGAGTGTGGCGAACGGAGTTTCCTGCAAGCCTTCGGCTTGGGATCCCTAAACCCTGAACCCAAAAAAGGCATCTTTAGTCTTTGGGATTTGGGTTCAGGGTGCGGGATTTGGGGTGTTTGTGCCCTTTATGTAGTGGTGCTTCTCAGGGAATTGACAGAGTAGATGTCTTATGTCTCACCGTATCCACTTCCCTAGAAAGAGCCGGAAAGTTCAACTACCAGCCGCTTTTGCTCCACCCTTGGCCCCATCTGGAATCGTTCCAGCCACTCCAGCCTGAGGCTAGGCAGTTTCGGAGCTTGAGAAGTTTTTGTGCCGGTGTTCGGCCTTCGAACCTTTCTAGGAGTATCTATATACGCTTTCGGGCTCAGGGAATGTAGAGGGTAGGGAGTGGGTGCGACAGGTTTAGAAAACCGCAACTACCGTGGAGACTGAGCAAAGAAACTCGAAAGCATCCTACAACTCTGCATCTCAAGCCCCAGAACTGACAGCTATGGGCCGAAAGCTCTGCACCCTTCCTTGATTCGACACTGATTCCTGCGCACCACTGAATCCCAGCAAATCTCGGAGTCATGAAGCATAAACCGCAACCACAGCTCGCAAGCCCTGGAAAGCCCTCCGGAAAAAGACATCAACAAAATTACGCAACTCAAAAGCCTTTCAAAAGCGGCAGTCTGTTCACCCTCAAGCCATAAACCATGGCGGGTCGTCCTTTGTTGGCTTCCGGATCCCCATATGGCTCACCACACGCTTTCCAGCAAAGACAACAGGAGAAAACAAAGCCGACATGCGAAGCCCTACACCGAATCGCTCAATCGATGCCCAACCCGAAACCCAAATCCCGAAAGCCTAGCTACTCGATTCCCAAGCCCTTAAGCAACATTACAACAATATACAAGATAATGTTGTAGTAGCAGTGGTGCTAGTGGTGCAATTCCAGAACTGAAGGCACTGCCTACACACTTGATACAACAATTGCAATGCTTGCACTGTCTAGGTTGTTCAGTAGCCAACTGGGAAAAGTCATAGTTTTGATGACCGAAACCCAGAAAGGCAAACAAGAACACCGCTGATCAACCTAGAGAATCATCCCTCAACTCCTGAACCCCAAACCCAAGACCCCTAAACCCCTAAACCTCTCGCACCATCCTCAAGCAGAGGCACCGCCATCTTTCCACCTGTTGTCGCCTTTGGAAGTCCACCCACCACGTCCTTCGAGGCGCTTTGGGATCGAGAGGGTTTAGGGTTTAGGGTTCAGGGTTTAGGGTTCAGGGTTCAGGGTTTAGGGTTTAGGGTTCAGGGTTTAGGGTTCACGGTTTAGGGTTTAGGGTTCGGGGTTTTGGGGTTTAGGNNTTCAGGGTTTAGGGTTTCGGATTTCGGGTTTAGGGTTCAGGGTTTCGGGTTTAAGGGCTCTGGGATCGAGAGCTAAGGAGTTTCGGGCTTGCAGGTCCTGAGTCCTTCAGCACTTCAGGGCGTTTTACCTTCGGGGCCCAGGGCTTCAGGGCATATGGGACTCAAAGTTAACAATGGAAGCTCATAAACCCTAAACCCTGAAACCAAACTACAACCTCAACCCTGAAACCTAACTAAAACCTCAACCCTGAAACCTAACTAAAACCCTAAATCCTGAAACCTAACTAAAACCTAAACCCCTGAACTACCGAGGGTCGGAGGTCACAGTTTGGTCTGCTCAGGTCCGAGGATGCCGGATTTCAGGATATCGGCCGTTCGGGGCGGAGGTGTGGGGTGTGTTGAGGTAAAAGTTTAGGGTTTAAGGGTTTAGGGGCTTAGGGGTTTAGGGGTTTAGGGTTTAGGGGCTTAGGGTTTAGGGTTCAGGGCTTAGGGTTGAGGGTTTAGGGGTTTAGGGGCATGTACCTCATGAATAATCATGAAGTTGCTTGAGGATTAAAACTGACAGAGGTTATGCTCATGCTTGCACGAATGTAACGCGAAGATGGAAATAACAAGAAAGGTAGCCAGATGTAAACAGAAAATGACAAAATAGCCTTGATAACCATCCCTGGCGTTCCTCAAAAAGAATGATTAGCTCCCCTTCCGAAGGCTAATCCAAGTCCACTGTAACCCCGGACGGTGAAGAATCGTCAACCATGAACCCTCAACCACCGTATGCACGGAGACAGGAGTCCTCCCTTAGCCCTGGTCTGAACCGCACACCCCAAAACCCTAAACCCTAGCTCGCCTGTGTCACTTTGCCAATCGCCCCTAGGTCGCCATGACCGCTCGTCGGCGTCTCCGTAGCCCCCAGAGGCTGCGGAGATGGATCGACCTTCACATCGTCTTCGGGCTTTGAATTTAATGTTTGGAGTTTGGGGTTTAGCTCAGGATGTGGGGTTAAGTTTGGCGTTTACGTTCTGTGTTTGTTTGCATCTTGTGCCCTGTGAGGCTTTTCTTCAGAATAATTCGAAAGCTCCAAGCCATGAGGCCCCTCTGCCAGGCCAAGACAGTGAGCCCAGCCCAAATCCGAAAAAATCCACTTCTGGGGGCCTTGATGCTTCGAGCAGGATTTGGGAGGTGTACTATGCTACAAACAGAGGGGTTATCAGGGGATACGAATTTAAATCGGATACTAATTCAATACTAGATGGGTAATTCCCTAAATTAGAGTCCGCTTTTAGGGTCCTTCTTATAAAAGTGCCGTGCTGGATTGGGGACCTAAAAAGGGACCCTAATTTAGAGAACTACCCAGATGTGTTGTCTTTCCGACCCCTAAACCCTAAACCCTAGGATCTCAAGCCCGGCGTTTCTCAACTAAGGTTTAGGGTTTAGGGTTTAGCGGAAAACCCTAAACCCCTGAACAGCCCGAGAAATCCTAAACTAAAAGGCAAGCTGAACCCCAGAACCACTGAAACTCAAAGGCCCCAAAAGACTCAACCCCCTTCTGCCGGGGCCTGAATAGCTAGAATAGGTTTTTGGGACCCATCATAGCATAATTGAAATAATAAGGAACCCTAAAAAAATCCTGTAGGTGCCTGAACCTCCTGGATTCTCGCAGCGTGAGCAGACGAACACTTTCGCCTTCGGCGTTCGATCACAGAGGTGTGTGTGCGTCTACTCGGGAATTCCTTTCAGGGTCACTACAAGCCTAAACCCTAAACCCTAAACCCTAAGCCCCAAACCCGAAACCCTAAACCCTAAACCCTAAGCCCCAAACCGGAAACCCTAAACCCTAAACCTTACAAGGGCTCTACAGCCGCACCTGGAAGGTTTAGGGCTTGGAGTTTCAGGTTTGATAACGAGGAGATTTCGGGCTGAGGCTTGGCTCAGGGTTTAGAGGTTTGGGGGTTTGGGGGTTTTGGGGTGTAGGGCTTTAGGGGTTTCGGTGTAGGGCTTTAGGGGTTTCGGTGTAGGGCTTTAGGGGTTTAGGGGTTTAGGGGTTTAGGGGTTTAGGGTTTATAGGCTTTCCGTTGAGGCGTTGTTGCTTTCAAGGGTCGGCCTGGCCTTCCTTGCGGGATGAAGTACTTTGGTTTTGAGACCACACGAGTCTAGTGTAGAAGCTTAAGATTTAAGGATCTGGACTTTTCTTGTGAATACGGGACTTGGGATGCTTAGGCTCGCTAGAACCACCATGAGACCTTAATAAAATTGGAGGACCCTTGGAGGCGGATTCACTTCGGACGTTTCTAGCTCGAGTGCTTCCGGAGCCGCAACGCAGAAGGCTTGAGGCTACGCTTTGAGGTTTAGGGTTTAGGGTTTAGGGTTTAGGGTTTAGGGTTTAGGGTTTAGGGTTTAGGTAGACTTGAGGCGTAAGACTCTTTGGCTTCACAGGATGCTTCCACATCGCAGAGACAAGTAGATCACACAACCCACAGCCCTGTCAGTGAAACCTAAAGCCTGTTGGGTCGTCGAGTCATGGAACCGACAAATCACACTGCCAACTCACCCCTAAGCCCTCAGCTCACCTATCCGCCAGTCTCTACAGATTCTCGGCCAACGATGGTACCCGCCCAAACGAGAGCAGAGGACGCCGACCTCGCCTCCACTGCGGCATCGTCTAGCGGCCGCGTGCACTTGCTGCACCTTCGGATTGGAAGCCAAGATTTTGGGTTTGGGGTTTAGGGCTTCCGAAACTAAGTGTTTGACCGGTCCAAGATGTAAAGTCTGAGGCTACAGGGACCAAGTTGCTCTGTGATCAAAAGCCCTCAATCCATCCCATACCAGAAATACCGGAATGCTGAAAAGTGGGCTGAGTCTGAACACAACAAAGAAAGCATCTTCTTACAGTCCCGATATAACAGTACTGCCAGGCATCCCCAAAAGCCCATTTCTGCTTGCTCAAAAAGTTCAGGCACCCATAATGTAGGGGCCTTCATAATTAGAATAGGCTTTTGGGGGTTCCTTAGCATATTCATAGTATGATATAAATCACCCCAAACCCTATTCTATTATTAAGGCCCCTCAACCCTAAACCCTTATAGTATGGACCCTTTAGGGAACCCTTTAAAGGAGCCCTCTGAAACCCTATTCTGATTATGAAAGCCCCTAGATTACCCACCCTGGCTCGAAGGTTCGGCCCTGGCCTCGCGACTTTCTTGGCGCCGTTGCCCAGGAGGAAGTCTGTCTGAGCAGAGTCGTCCTGCACGCTTTGGAGCTTCTGGGTCCTTGTTGGATTCAAAATAACACACCTTCGTTACAAGAATACCCAACAAGAATTAAACATGACCATTGTTAATACAGCCCCAACAGGGAACCAGGTTTAGGGTTTAGAGGAGTTCAAGGGTCTCGAGGAGTTCAGGGCCCCTGTTTCAGAACTTCATTCAAGTTGCCATAATCGCAATACAGGCATTTTCTGGTGTCAGATGATGCTCTATATGGGTTTTAGGCGGCTTGGATGGCTTTGGACAACTTCATTTTATGTTGCCCTACTCCTCTACTCTACTCTCCTACTACCACAACAAACAACTGCTACTACTACGACTGCTACTACCACCGCTACCACTACTTGTACTACTGCTACTACTACTACTACTACTTCTTCTTCTGCTGCTGCTGCTACTACTACTGCGACGACGACGACGACGACGACGACGACGCCGACTACTACTACTACTACTACTACTACTACTACTACTACTACTAGGACGACGACGACGACGACGACTACTACTACTACGACGGCTACTACTGAAAGATGTCGATCCTTGAGCTCGAACAGCCTTACTGGCATGCGACCCAGGGGTCGGGCGACCTGCTGGGCTATTTTACGGCCCCTTGGGCCCTAGATGCTAGAGATCTCTTTCTGTTAACTTTAAGGCTTGAGGTTTGTTAGTATATCTGTAGGTATATATGGTTGAGTGCATGTAGTTTCGACTCTTACAAAGTGTTGGGTTTTGTGGTTTCGGAATTCCAACAAGCACAGGATGCGTGAGTCCTTCTGTGTATCATGGACCGTGTACTGGTTTACTAGGTGCTCTCCCATAGGCACGCATGCGAGGGAAGGAAGGAAAACCAGGTCCAGTCATTATCGTTTCAATATCGATTAAGGGTCCTTTATTTTTCAATGTCCTTATATGAGAGGCCGTGTGCTTCTTAGAGAAGCCGTGTGCTTCTTAGGGCTTGTATCAGGATCGCTTGCTTCTAAAGCTCCCATGTCACTCGAAAACAGCACGTATCACGAGCTGGCGATTCCATTCGTGTATGGCTTCGCAGAGGTGGCGGCTCCAATGGCTCACCCGTTCAGAATCGCAGCCGAGGCCCTCCACAGTAAGGAGGGCTTAAGGTGCGGGGAACAGCTCCTGGTGATGAAAGAAAGCCGTATGAAGTACGAAGCCCTGAACTCAGCTGCAGAAGCTGAGCTCCTATCTACAAGTACGGATAATTTGGTTGAACCTCAAGCGCAGGTGCGGTGCAAGTTTCAAGCGGAGAAGCTCGTCTTAAACCGGCCCTATACTCTGTGCGGGGCATGAAGGCGCCCGGCGGTAAAAATGCCGATCTGCGGCTGCGACGAGGACGAAGACGACTTGTGCTACTGCTACTACTGCTACGACGACGACAACGACGACTGCTGCTGCTGCTGCTACCACTACCACTACCACTACCACTACCACTACCACTACCACTACCACTACCATCCACTATTACTACTACTACTGCTACTACTACTACTACTACT